AATAAACCCGAAATTCCAACATGTGCACAAGTTTTAAAAACCGTTCATATCCACCCCTAAACCCCCCGTGGGGGGAGGGGGGGGGGTTGAAGGTCCACTCATCTTAAAGTGGCCAAGTTTGGACAACACTGATTTACATAATCAAGAAGTATGGGAACATGGAGGCTGCCCTGAGTTCCTGAACAAAAAACAGGATATACTTCTAATAAATAAATAGATAGGTATAATGGTGTAGCACAAACCTGATCTTACTGTGGGCGTGAAGTAGCTATCTGCATTGTTGAGATTGCCCTTTTTCATTCCCTTGGCCTTGCAGTATCCTTTCTCCTCTCAAGTATACCAAATAAACCGAGAGGTGAAAGATAACTCCAGTTCCTGTACCTGTACTGCTTCTTTTGAGCCTTTGTGCCTATAAGAGCTGCAGGCCCACCATATCTAGCAATGAGGCTCATAGTTATTTGGGGCAGATACATATTGGCAAGTGAGGCAATCCCAGGAAGAGATGCAGCTTCTTTGAGTTGCTGGGTGGTATGGCCAAGTAGGCTTGGAATCACCTTTTCCCTTCAGATCTGGATTGATGCACAGCTCTGTTCTGGAGCGTAAATATTGCTTATGAGTATGAATGGCACACAGAATCAATACTGATGCCAGATGTTAGTTGTTTTTTTCCCTCCTGATACACAAAAACAGAACAAATTGTGCTAAACCAGTTCTGACAGATGTTTACACTGATTATACATGCATCTATTAATACTCACAACATTCTTTTCACTTGTTTCAAGCAGCTTCCACATTTTCTTTCCTTACGTCTACTTTCCATTCATTCTGGTTGGAGATTATTCTGTCTTCTAATACTGTTTTCATAAAAGATTGGTACCTTCCCTTTCTGAAGTTGGCTTACTTTCATTTCTTTCACTTCTTTTCTGTTATGCTCATTTTTTCTGAAGATCCTCTCTTGACAGTACCAAAAATGGTTTGTTCCAGATTCAGAACCTCTCATCATCCCTGTATCTCCCTCTAATTATCTCAAGCTTTCATCATGAACTCTCAAGTCAGTCATGCTTTTAAATTTATATTTATGTCTTTGCCATATGTATAGATGAATTGACTTAAGCTTATATTATGAATTTGGAAAAAATACAACTTTGTCTAAGCAGACACTCACCAAACAATCACTGTTCTCACTCATTTTTGGGTCTGTAAACGGTCCAGTCCCTTTTCTATATCCTCTCTCATTTCATTTCCACCCATCCATTCATATCACCTAGCAGAACAGTGTTTTCACCTGGATTGCATTCATTCATAATATTTTAATTTTTCCCCTAAAACTTCTACCTGCTTCTTCCATCATTATCCTTCATTGGAATGTAAACATGTATCACCAATTTACAGATTCATACTTTTGGATGTATCCACAACAACCCAGATGATACCAGTTCATATCATATATTTTGGTCCATTCATTATTAGACCTACATCTTTATTATTTTTTTAATGTATTCTTTAACTCTGCTCAACAAGGAGAGACTTCCTACATTCCCATCTATTAACTCTTCTCTGGTGTCTTAGTTTCACAGACATACAACATATTTATTTTTCTTTCTTTCATTTCAGTTGTTAATCCATGCTCTTGGACTTTTGTTTCTTAGTACTCCAAATTGTCATCTTCTGTTTGTTGTGAATGTCACCAGACGGGCCCATAGATAGCAACCTCTTCCGACCATCATGGCTTTGCTTAACTATTCTTTCACATATCACTTTTTAGTAAGAGAAGGTATAAACTATCTTACTAGTTGTAGTTGTACCTATGCAACATGCAGCATTCCCTGCTAACAGAGAGGACAGTACCAGTCATGACCAGTATGACACAACCAAAATCCACTTTCACCCAAAGTATGATCACTGTATTCTGTGCAAGCTAAAATCTGTAGTGCAGAGATTACCTTGGAACCAAGCATCCTATTGTTTGCATCCTGTCAGGTAGGAGGCATACATAATGTAGAGAAAGACACACACAGGATGCTATCAATTATAATAGCTATGAAATATGTTTATTAGCAGATAGTTCACAGATGGAACATGCAGTTTGCCATTAATCTCACACCTGGTACTTACAAAATACCCACCTACTCTTATAAATACTGTACATGTTGGCAATTTTTATTACATCACTACTGTAATTATTTTGATGAAACTATTACTTTATGTTTTGCATAAACTCTGGGATAGCCCTTGGTAATTCCACCTTGAGAACTTTTCCACATAGTAGAATATTGACTGAGCTGAGCTTTAGGAAAACTTAAGTAATTTACAGATAGGACCTTTCAGATTCATTCCAGAATGAGATGAGTACCTTATTTTCCAAATGTCATAAAGGTCATTCAGATTTCTGGATCCACTTACAGGTTTTTGGTTTTTATTTTAAAATAAAGAACATGGCTCTTGAATGCCTTTTTTTTTTTTTTTTTTTTTTTGGCCAGGACTGTTATGAACTGCTTCTGCAATTCCAATATATTTTAAATCAGAAAAACTAGTCTGTGGAGAATGTTCATTGATAACATTTATCTCGAAATTAAAACTGAGAACAGAGAAAGCACTTGAAGCTAAGCATATATTAAACAGAATATTAGTACTCTCTCATGCATTCCATACTGCACTGTTGTTTAAATGTAGTAAGAAAATGTTATGAATATGTGTCTTTTCCAAAATCTAAAATTAATGCCATCTAGAACATACTTAAAGTTTTTGTCCCATGTTATCTGTACTTGAGACATCTACTCTTATTTTGTTCTTGAAGTGCCCTCTCTTGGTTGATGTGTGCAATTTCATTACTATTGTTAAGAAAACAAGAATCTAGGTAGTTGTATGCCTCATCTTTTCATGCATACACATTGAAATTTGTACGAGAAAAAAGTGCTTAGATCATGTTGTGTGAGTGATGCAGCAAAATTATACACAAAATTCTTTGCATATAGGAAAAGAAACAGATAATGTAATAAGATTCCATACTCTTCCTGATACGACTGTTAATGATGTTAGCTGCTTGACTGCTCATATTAAAATGGAATATATCAGAAAAAATAAATAATTATACTCCTGTCTCAAAAAACAAGATGTGACAGGGAAATAGATTTTTGTGCCTGCTAAGATAAACATCTAATAGGTGAACGATTATGTATATATTGTTTAAAAGTTCAGTAAAACGTTTTTGTTCTAAATATTCTACGTATTCTTTGAAATATTGACTGACTGTCATGTCCTGCACGTAGTATTGTTGGTTTAAAGGGAGTGGAGAGAATATCTGTTTTGAGATATTGCCTTTTTTCATATTGATAGTCCTGTGGATTTTCATAAACATTAAAACCCAGATTTAGGGAAACGTTTTCCCTGTGTATATGAAAGATAATGTTAGGATAATAAATTGAGAGATTAGTTGGGACTAAATATGTTTTAATATGAGTAGGACAGCTGCTTAATTTTCTACCCTATTTTGCATCTGTTATATTTGTTTATAATCTCTTGATTTTTGAATTTAAACAACTCAACTGTTCAGAGTAGATAGTGTTCATAAAATGCTATTATCTGGTGCAAATTATACAGTGTTTGGACATGTATTTTGCACCTAAATAGATGCAAAATAGTTTAGACTGTATTATTTGCTTAATTACATATTTTAACATCATTATTTAGGATTCCATCATAATAGTTTGGAATAATTACCAGTAATTTTGTTTTCTAAAGATATCTTTTTTAACTGCAATTCTTCTATTTGTAAAAAGTTCTTAACCAGTGTTCTTATTAGATAATCATATAGCTACCAATATCTATATACAGTATGTTAGAATCTCCGTTGTCCAGATCGCTTGTTAAAAATCACAAGCTTAATTCACTGTTGCCCTTTAGAAAGACAGATTATAATCCTGCCCTTGTTGTGCTAAGTGGGGCATATTGCCAGCGTGTCAGTGAATAATCAACAACTTAAAAGAATGCTTGGGTTTTTTTTAATAACAGCTAAATAATTATGAAGGCAAATTGGTAGGCTGATGGCAAAGTTCCCAATGATCAGAGTGATAAAGTTAAGTTGGGCTTTATTGACTGATGGGGCTTTTAAGGACTGGCATACCGTTCTCCTCCACCAGTCTCAGGTACATAGCTTGCAATGTTCAGTCAGTGATGGGGTCCAAGCATTCCGATCCTTAATGTGGCTCACAGCCCATCGGCTGAACCTTCTGTGCATTCTGGCAGCATGTCACACTCGGCTGCCATCTGTGCGGCACAGGCGACTTGGCGCAGGGAGGCTGTAGCTGTTCCTGCCTGAATTCCAGTGTGGTTTGGGTGCATGTGAAGCCTCTATACTATGCCATCTGCAAAGCTTCTTGGGATGAGTAGTTCCATTGTAATCCACCAAATGAATTTTTTTTCTGGGATTTCAATGACAAAAAATATCTATCGAATCATAATATTATTAATGTAAAATGAAGAAGAAATTGTTATGACTGAAATATCCAAGAAAGTTTGGACTTAAAATTCACGCTGATATAGCTGTGGTTTTTCTTAATCATGGGACATATTTGCAAATAAAAATAATATTCTAATCTTGAAGGGTTAATGCTCTGCGCCAAGTGCTGATTCTTATAAATAAAACTCACTTGTTTATGGGCATATTTCCATATACATTCCCACTATTTAATAGACACCATCTTACTAAAATTAAACATTTTTCAATTTGACTTTGACCAAAAAATTAACAATTTATTTTTATCAACTCTGGAGCTTTGTATTATAGTAACTTTAACAACAGGATTTTTGTTTTGTATCATCAGTGTGTTAAATATGTTTCCAATGCAATTCTTGCATGTCTGGTTCATTGCAGAAATACATTTATAACTTCTGAGTTAACTCAAGACTTGATGTCTAAACTGTAGTAGCAGCGATTGTCATGAAG